CATCACAGCCAATATCTGTAAATATTGTTGATAAAAGAAAACCTATCAAATATCCTTGAGAATATGTATCTACCAAGTACATGTAGTCATCATAAATAAGAAGACATGATTTGCTTGTTTGGATGTTCATAAAACCATTTCTCCGCGCGAAGGGGGTATTGCGCAACAGATTTCTTTTATAGAAACGTATCCCTTCTTTTGCCCCTCGAAGATGCCAGGGGCGGTTTGTGATTTAGGCGTTGGATTTGTCACCATAAGGGCGCGAATTGGATTATCACCTACGAATGAGCCACTGGAGTGTTTCCTTGGGCAAGGCAGTTATTCTTCTTCCCTCCGCCGTTCTAAATGCAAAAATATTGACAAATTGCCCAAACAAGTATTTAAATAATGTATATAATTATAATGCATTTAGCTAGTATTTTCTTTAAAATATCCATGATAATTACATACATGTAAATGACATCTGTGTGCCTTCCTGCTGGTATGAAAAACACCTTAGGAGCCTTCGTTATGTAAAACCCTGACTAGGCGTTCTAGTCTTACTTTGTGTCCGCTCTATAGTATTTTACAATGTAGCAGAAAATAATTTTCCACTTGTAAAATTATGTTTATCATTGATACTTATTTCAAGAGTAAGTTTAATCGGGTGCTATTCACAGTCGATGTTAAATTGGTATAATCGGTAAAAAACAGAAATCACACGTGCTTTGAATTTCTCTTGTTTTTTTTTTTTTGCGGCACTAATTTCAACTTAGCCCATAATAAAAAAAACTTACATCTTACTAGATATACATTAACAATCAGTGAAACTGCATAAAAATGTGTCCCACTTTATCTAGTTTTGAAAAGTGGTAGTGAAAAGAGAGCAAAGTCCTGTTGAGAATGTGTGTGTGTGTATATATATATATATATATATATATATATATATATATATATAGAGAGAGAGAGAGAGAGAGAGAGAGAGAGAGAGAGACAGACTGATAGATAGATAGATAGATAGATAGATAGATAGATAGATAGATAGATAGATAGATAGATAGATAGATAGATATCATGACAAACAAAATCTGTAAACAAAGTTATCAAAGTCGACCCCTATTTTCTAGCAAACCACCCAAAGACAAGTTAGACAAATTAGGCTTTCAAAAAAGAAGGTAATCTTCTCAAACATTTTTTTTCTCGTTACCTACAATTGTAGAATTGCAATAATTGAGCAATAATGTGAATAAAAATTAAGTCTGACCCAAATTTTTATCCAGTCAGATTTATGGACTTTCAGCTCATGTTTGAGCTCAAACTCAAGCTCTGATGTTCAAACCCAGCCCAAAATGCTTTTACATGGCGCCGCTTTTGACATATTGTTTGATGTAAAGTAAAACGAAGGTCGTGATTCAAAGGGTCTGAAGTGATTCACGCAAAGCTCAGTGAGTAGATAATTAAAACGAATTGAATGTTATTCTACACTGTTTGCACCATACATTTTGCATCAGCCTGAGTATCTCTTAAAAAATAAGTGAATTACTTACTTGCCATTATGATGAAAAATCCATAGCTGTACAAAAAACTGAAATCTATATTCGATGCATATTAACTGTTTTTTTTTTTAACACAAACCGATCTTTCCTCCAGGCTATGTTGGTGCAGTTACCACCCTGCACTGAAGTCAACACGATAAAATATTGATCCGGGTTACGTTGGCGTAAGAAAAGAAAATGATAGCAAGAAGCCTGCTTACTATTGAAATCGGGATAATGTACATCACACACCCACATACGTTTAAAGTCGACCGTTGAAATAATGAAATACAAAAGTTCCTACTAGATGTAAGAAGGATCGATTATTTGTTCATATTTTCCCATAGAAATGCAGTAACCATTGTACCATATTCTCACTTTCTTATTCTTCCTAAGGCTTAATTATATAAATAAAAATACATTGCTAGAAACAAAGTAACTGAATTATGCGGTATTAAGAACCACAATAAACAAGCGAGGATTCATCAGAACACAAAAACATTATTATTAAAGCGTACATAACTACACCCTGATAAATTTGAACTTAATCACGCGATAGACACCACTTTCTAAAGAAAATGGCGTTTTGGTCTAATTAAAATAGAAATTTAGAGTCATACTGGAAATGAATTCTCATTGCAACAACTTTTCTAATTAGTCTGGAATGAATAGATTTTGGTATATGTTTGTCGATTCTACTAAATTTTGTGATAATGACTGGATTTATCTGTGTCAATTCTAACTGAAATAGGGAGCAGCGTGTTGACATTTACAGATGTTCTGTCGTTGAATGTTTGGAATCACAATGTGGGGATAATATGAAGTCTTTTTTGCAATTATCAAACAGTCTCTATGGACTAAAATATTCATTTCAATTTGAGTGCAGTAAGCAAGGTGTAATTGCACTTGGAATGTAGTCGAAATTGCAGCACGATTTTGAAATGTGTAATCAAGTTTTGAAACCTTTGATATGGCTCAGTAATTGGGATTTGCATAACTAAGAAAGTACCTTTGAAGAAATTTAGAATATAAAACTGTAAGTATAGTTTTGCCCTTTCTTTTACCAGCTAAGGAAGACACGTGTATGCCTTGAAACTTGCTTGTTATTTGTAGGGACCCAGCAATTTTGTTTACAAGTCTGGCGTCTATCACTAGCCTAACTCCGAAACATTCTATCAAAAAAGTTAACACCGAATATTGAAAATTAGCTGGTATGTGGCAGTCCACGAAACACCTGCTTTAATTCATTCATAAAAATATTAATCAACCAAAAGGTAAAACATCTACTACCTGAGTGTAAATGATTTGTTTACAATGTAGTTCCTAACAAACTATTAAGCACACGTGAATGCAATATGAAGGTGTGCAATATCGTAAAATATTATATTATTCTAACAACGTAAACTTGACAAACGGAGACAAACATGAGCAAGTAATAATTTTAGAATCTTTGTCGATCACCAATATGGGTCTCCGTCAAAGCTTTTCATTGATAGATTACATAGATTACATTACGTTCCAAGTTGTCTGAAATTGCATGCATGCTTAATTATCTTAAACTCTTTAAAAAACACACTTACGCTTTTCTTCTTTTATATGTAGGATGTTTCTTCTATGGCAGTGGCAACATACTGTCTTTACAGCTAAGTGGTGCACTAATACTGAAATTCAGATGATTTTCATGAATAAAAATGCCAACATGGACACTATAAAATCCATTTCTAACGTGAACTGGTTGGCTGTTTGTGGAATATTCTTAACAGTCTTTCAATAGATTTGTTCTAGTATACTCAGCGTCTCAGGCAAGATAACGATGCCTTTGGCTGCTTGATAACGGGACCATGTTCTTTTTCTGTTCCTATGGCCGCAGCTAATTTCTTCACATCTGTCCCGCATGGGTTTGAATATTTGTTGAAAATACTTTGGACGATCTTCTCGTGTAGATATTCTCTCCTGTAACATATTTTGGCACTTTGACAGTCCTCATACAACATTACGAATCAGTTACTGGTTTTTGCTATCAGCTTTGCTGCATCACTCACCTAACACTTCTTTGACATCACTCGTGGAAAGCGTCGGCTTAAACACTTTATATGTAAATCGTTGTTATTAAACTCTTTTATTCAAAAACCGTACGATATTCTGGAAGTTATGGTAAAGACAATAGTGAGGAATCTATAGTCTCCTGGATGACATTCGCAAACGAATTATGAAATTCATCCCACGAAACGTCTGCGGCACACCGGGTCAAATGAATGCTTCTGAGACCATGCGAGTCCATAACATGAAATATCATCGACAAGTTACAATGTTTCCGATTACTTTAGTCAAGAGTGCGTATCATTGTGTCAAATAGACTAAATCTGTGTTTTTGTGTCGGCCTCAGCAAGGTATTCTCTCGGGAAAGCTTTGTTATTCTAGCATGTCATAGTCCCACACAATAGGTTATTTTCACTTAAATCCAAAAGGGTAATGGCAGAAGCATAGTTGATTGTGGCAAAGAAATCAACAGTGAACAATTTACTTCTGAACGATGACTGAATAGCTACCGTAAAATCTTTCAGTGCATCATAACACAGTTGATCATCTGCTGACGACGCAATCACATACAGGTGATCCCACGAAAACGATATCATAATCATATTAAATAATAATTGAGCCTTTCCTGATCAAGATGAACCAATGAGTATCGTGCTAACTTAGGTTTGAAATATATCATTGTGCTTGAATGAAGTGAGATTTACCTGTGCAGAAAATAGAATTGCAGAATATTCTTTGACATTCTTCAGATCATCATCAGGTTTGTTTTTTTTCCCTTATCATCATGACAAATAAAAATATTTGTTTGCTTTAAAGTAATGATGGAACAATTCGGCTAATTAGTAAACATGATCAGCTTTTATTTAACTTAGCAATTATGTCATATGCAAGTCTCCACTTCCTGGTCAATATAAATGAACTACACCCAACATTGATAGCTTGGTTTTGATGATTAGTGATTGATCTCAGAAATGATAAGTCGTCCGACGCATTTTGTGTAATGTGACTACTGTTAAATAATGCAAACATGTCATTAGAGTCTGTGCGAAGTAAGAATGAAAACACGTAACACCATTCTACCTCGGGTTCAAATACATAATTGTAGAACCGCAATTTAGGAATATAGTGTTTCATGTGGACCAAACACCTTCACGTTTGTAAAAAAAAAAAAACTAAGGGAAAACGCCGGTCTAATACGATATGTTGCTGGCGGTGATGTAACTACCGCATCAGCAAAACTAGAAGAAGCACCATAGAATAAATCTCCTGGTGAAATCACCTCCTGCATACAACTACTGTGGGTCTAGTGCACGACTTGACCCTAACAATCAACCACAGCCTGAGAAGTCGTGTTGATGCCGCATGTTACCGACATGATCCTGCTATCATGGTCGTCAAGTAACAAATGTGTGCTTCATAAATGCAATCATAACAATAAATTCAACCGCTCCGGTGGCCTAGTGGTTAGTGCGTCCGCCTCGGATGCGGGTGGTTGTGGGTTCGATCCCCGGTCGAGTCCTACCAAAGACTTACAAAAATGGTACTAACAGCTGCCTCGCTTGACGCTCAGCATTAAGAAGTTAGTGTTAGGACTGGTTGGCCTGGTGTCAGGATAATGTGACTGGGTGGGACATCATGCTACATGTCTGCGGCATTTTGCCCCAGTGCTAGACATCACTATAAACTGCCACACTGCAGACATCGTAGCGATATGACTGAAAAATTGTTAAAGCTGCATTAAAAATTATAAACACCACACACACACCAACATTAAATTCAAGCAGTCAGTACTGACAGTACTTTCTCATTGTATCAACATGTCATGAACATATGCAAGGCTGCATGCATTGAGCTGCAGCGCATCAGCTCCATTCGCAAGTATCTGTCAGTTGATACCACTAAAACACTCGTGTGTTCCTTAGTACTTTCAAAACTTGCCTATTGTAATTCAATTATGTCTGGTTCATCTCAATATCTACTTCAGAAACTTCAAAAAGTTCAAAACACTGCTGATCGGATCATCCTTAGAGTACCACAATCAGAGCACGTCTCCCCGCTGCTCTGTATCCTACACTGGCTATCCATACGATCCAGAATTAAACACAAAATTTGTTCTCTGTGCTACGTTTCATTGATGGGCTCCAGTCCAACATACTTCTCACCATTGTGTATACACCTGCAAGAAGCTTACGCTCCTCTTCTGACACTCGTATTCTCATTATTTCCAATATAAAGTTGAAATAATATAAACAACGTTCTTGTGCATACCATGGCCCGAATTGGAAGGAATTGCCCACTGCACTTAGATACAAAGACACAGTGATCTCATCCAAGAGAGCTCTTACAAATCATCTATTTCAACTGCAAGAACAGTCATAAGGACCTAATAATGCATTGTTGTTTGTTTCTATTTTTGTAATCATATCATTATATTGTTTTTTAATTCTTTCTAAGTGTTGCCAAATGTAGTAAAGCGCTTAGAGCTTCAAAAAATTAGGCGCTATATAAAGTCTTCGTTATTATCATTATCATTATTATTATTATTATTATTATTATTATTATTATTATTATTATTATTATTATCGTCATTATTATTATTTGTATTTTATCGTACGCGTAAATCATTGCGGTCTTTTGTCGTTGTAACGTCGTCGTTGCATTTATAGCCGGCTATGGTTAATCCGGAATAACCAATTATGTTTGATAAAGGGACTATGTTGCACAACCAGTTGTGGACTTAACGCAAGTGTATCAGGTTTTCGTATACGGCTTGGTGTTAGTATCCCACGCTCACGCACGAGTTTCCTCAACTTAATTCCAGTAGGCACACTTGTATGCAACGGAAAATCATTAACTAATTGTAAATTCCGTCAAAAAATTGTTTAGTGTTTTTTATTCTGACTGCATCAGAAACTGCAACGTCTTCAATCCTGTCTATTATTTCATCCAAATGGTCAGGTGTTTCGTCAGCGTTGTTAAAATCGTAGGGCATTTCAATAACATATCGCAACGTTTTCCAAGGCATACACCTTTGCACTGATTACGCCTGAATGTCATTGAATGTTATATACAAGAATTTAATAGGAATATTGTTTATCCAGCTCTCATTTCATGAAGTCCTGGTGATTGTTAATAATCTATCGCATTACACTGTATAGAATGATAGTTCACAATATTCCAGGGATACTATGCCATAAATGGTCATTTAGTGTTTTACAAGCAAGATAGTTTACCACGTGAGAAAAGAAATTTCTTTCAAGCGGGTATTTGATTAAATCATGTAACATTTACAATTAAAAAATCTATCACACTAACTCCAAACCAGCAATCTATTCTGCTCTTACATGCAAGAATTGCAAAAGTGCAATTTAGTGTTCAATTTTTAAAGCTAAAATTATCTACGATTATTGCATCATCTTCTGTTATCTACTGTATTGGTTCCTTATCATTACATCACAAGAACTTCTGTCATTTCCACATATTCTTTATCATATAAACAAACTCATTCCTTTGTGTACATTTGAGTTGCTAATAGTTTTTGTTGTATAAATCATATTTAAAAATCTCTCTAATTGATTTATGCTTGCTTATCTTCGCTACATGGGCTACTATTTTTGCTTTTAGTTTTTTCATGTAGTCCAGTTAAAGTCAGCAGATTAATTGTTTCCTGCACAATTTCGTGTTTCCTCGCATAAATTTTGCCTAGTTTACGTCGTTTCTGCTCAAAGATTGGTCCAAATTGTGTAATTTATTAATATGCAACCAATAAGTTTGAAAACGTTTAGAACATTTTGAAGCGTCTACGACAAATCTATATGATACACTCAAACGAAACAGTGAATTGATCATTTTTGCAACGAAACGCACTCTCCGCTTATCTGTCTCTGTGTGTGTGTGTGTGTGTGTGTGTGTGTGTGTGTACGGGTCTGAGATTCAGATTACTTTAATTAGAACTGTTTATTTACATGACTTATATATCTTCACAATTTTATGACAAATTTTTGGATCTTCGGAAATCGTAAGTATTGTTTTATATTTCAAACTTTTCAACGTGTTTTCTAGGGAAATAAATTAATTTTTTGGTTAAGTTTACAGAGCTTGTTGTCTTCTCTCTTTTCTTTATGTTACTTTAAACGAGCCGATATGTAACAATATGTATATGTATATATGTGAGCTTGTGTGAGATCAAGCAGTTGCTGGATGAGAAACACCGCCTCCACCAAGCCTACTTAAACAACCCCAATTCCACCTCCAGTAAACATGCATTCATCAACATACGCAAAACGGTTCAGCAAAAACTCTGTAAGATGTGAGACACTTGGCTTAGCAACAAAGCTGATGAGATACAGTGCTACGCAGACAAGCATGACATAAAAAACTTCTACAATGCCCTAAAAGAAGTTATGGACCTACATCTTCTGTATCATCACTCCTTCTCAGCGCAGATGGTAACACTCTAATTACTGACAAAGAGAAGATTCTTGAACGATGGGCAGAACATTCAAGTGTCTTGAATCGCCCTTCATCCATCAACGAGGAAACCATCAACTGTGTCCCTCAATTACCCATCAACGAAATACTGGATGACCCTCCAACCTTGCTTGAGACACAGAAAACAATTCATCTGCTCTCCAGTGGCAAAGCTCTCGGCTCAGATGTCATCCCAGTAGAAATCTACAAGGAAGGGGGTACAGCCCTGATTGAAAGGCTTCACGAACTGTTCCTGCTGATGTGTCAGCAAGAGACAATTCCGCGAGAATTCAAAGATGCTTCCATAATCCACCTTTACAACGCAAAGGAAACCGACAGGCCTGCGACAACCATCGAAGTATTTCCTTGCTCTCAATTGCAGGAAAGATACTCGCCAGAATGTTTCTGAATCGCCTCACTATGCACCTGATCAGGGACTTCTGCCAGAAAGCCAGTGTGGATTACGGAAAAAGCGTGGGATTATTGACATGGTGTTTGCTGCAAGGCAGCTGCAAGAGAAATGTCAAGAGCAAGACGTTGACCTTTTCTCCATCTATATCGACTTGACAAAGGCTTTTGATGCTGTCAGCAGAGAAGGATTATGAAAGGTAATGGCCAAATATGGATGTCCCAAAAAAATTACATCCATGACGGCATGCCGGCGCGAGTACAGGAAAATTGAGAGTCGTCTGAACCATTCCCAGTAACCAATGGCATCAAACAGGGTTGTGTTCTGGCACCGACATTGTTCAGTCTTTTTTTTCTCCGCCATGCTGACTGTTGTATTCAGAGACGGAGTTGTTGGAGTCTGCATCAGGTACCGTACAGATGGAAAACTGTTCAACCCCAGGAGGCTACAAGCGAAATCCAAGGTTATGACAGACAACATCAGGGAGTTCTTATTTGCTGATTATTTCGCCCTCAATGCTGGCTCAGAAGCACACCTACAATACAGCGTTGACAAGTTCTCCAGTTCCTGCACAAGCTTTGGTCTCACCATCAATGCTAAGGAGACTGAAGTACTGCATCAGCCAGCCCCGAGAAAGCCCTATACTGAGCCAAACATCACCGTCAACAGCCAAAAACTCAGCCTCATGACCAAACTAAAGATCTACAGGGCAGTTATACTCCCCACATTACTCTACACATGCGAAACGTGGACGGTGTATCAACGCCATGCCAGGATGCTGAACCACTTTCACAACACAAGCCTCAGGAAAATAATCAATATAAATTGAAATGTCAGGACAAAGTCCCAGACACCGAGATACTATCCAAAGCTGGCCTCTCCAGCATTCACACCATCCTGATGCAGTCCAAGCTACGCTGGGCGGTACATGTTGTACGCATGCCAGACCACAGGCTGCCTAAGAAACTCTTCTATGGCGAGCTACAGCAAGGACAGAGATCCCACGGAGGTCAGAAGAAACGCTTCAAAGACAATTTGAAAGCTGCATTGAAAGCGTTCAGCATAGACCCTGACTCATGGAATCAAACAGCTAGCGATTGAGTCACTTGGCGTTCCTATCTTCACAAAGGCTCCAAGCTGTGTGAATCGAGTAGGATAGCAGATGCAGAGATAAAGAGGCAAGTCAGAAAAGCACGTGCCAGCGACCCTCCTGGAGATCCAGTGTCTTTTCTGCAACCGAACCTTCCGTGCAAGGATTGGCCTTATCAACCACCTACGCACACACAGAACAGAACTAGCCCCTCCAACTCACAGATGACTAGAGTGGTCTTCGGACGAACAGCAACAATATATATATATATATATATATATATATATATATATATATATATATATATATACACACACACATACATACATACATACATACATACATACATACATACATACATACATACATACATACATACATACATACATACATACATACATACATACATACATACATACATACATACATACATACATACATACATACATACATACATACACATGTGTGTGCATGTGAGTGTGTCTAATAGTGAAATAGCGATAAATAATCCAATTCATAAACAGAAAGAATAGGCACAATGTATATTATAGGCCA